TCATGTTTTTAGATGGGGGTGTGTGCCGCTGCCATTTTTTTTTCCAGTCCAGATTTTTTAATGGCTTTTATTCATAAAAGTTGTTGTTGTTTGACAGATGAGAGCATTCCATCCAGGGATTTGAACCAATGGAGAACTGCACTCTCAGATCATGAGCAATTGCTAAAGAAATGGGAAAAGGCCTGGGTAGGTCTATGCTCTTGCATGGGAGTGCATTTTCTGTTAATCTTGTAAATATCTGTGCATTTATCCGGGTTGACTTGCATCGTGCGTACCAGGTGTAACCTGCTTTTGGTGAGTGGTTTGAACTAGGTTTTTATTTATTTATTTATTTTTTTAAGAGACGCTCTAAGATCAGATTTATTGACGCAATGGCAAATAATCAGATAAAAAGCTACAGTGAAGCCAGTTAAGTTTGTTCTACCAATTCTGCAGTTTTATACAGTATGAATAAGACATTTGCAAACTTTAAAATACACTAAAGCTAATTTTGTTACTAGCTGTTCATCCAGCCATATTAACTACAATTTAGCAACACATTTCATTTAACTACATTTTCAGTACCATTATCTATTAACTACATTCGGCTAATCATGTTGAAGATAACAAGATACTTATTTTAAACAATACCTAATTGGTTTCCTCCAAAATAGATGTGCTTTGATTGGTTTGACAACACAAATTTGATTTTACTTTACACTGCTTTGTTTGACAATGCAAATTTGATTTTACTTTACACTGCTTTCTCCTATTTCTACTTGTTCCCAGTGAGGTTTTGCTTTATTTACCAGATATCACAGGGTTTTGTTTTTGTTCCAGTTTCAAATTAAAGCTTTCTTGTAACTGTAGCATCATATGTATGAATGAACACGTGTTAAGTAGTTTTATTTTTTTAGCTTGAATGCAGATGTACTACTTATGTGCATGAAGTCCTAGGTTGACTAAGAAAACACGCATGTTCCCTCAAGTGCTAAACTAGTTTAACTTTTGCCTCAGTCAGGCTGAAATGCAGTTGTATTTTGAGTTACTGATCAATTTGGAGATGTGTACAGTGATTCACAGGTCTAGATCAGGCTAACTGACCTACTGGCATTACATAGAATTTGCATTTCTAATGGTGAACGACAGTTTGTCATGGCTTTATTTAGATTGGGTGGGATTTTTATACAAATCCCAGAATATTTCTTCCATGTTCTCATCCATCTCTACTTGTATAGTCCAACTCTGTTCTCCCCTCCACAGGAAAGCTGTGATGGCCACCGAGCTCTGTGAAGATGTCACGAGCTTATATTGGTTGAATCTACTTGTGAGCATGGTCATCACTCCAGGTGGACCACCTTTGACATTGAAACTATAATAGACAGATGGAATATATAAAGATTCACCAGTGCCACTTCTTACATAAGGAGTTTGATTAACAGTGAAGCAAAGAATTTGCAAAACCTGCTTTCTGCAGGGGCCACCTGGTTATGATGGGAGTGCTGGGACTCCTACCAAGTCTGAGGAGATGTAGCTCATCAGTGGCCTCAGTCTGGTGACATGGGCTACTTTTTTTTAACCAACAATTCATTTATTCCTATTTTGTGCATGAGGATGAACATCCTGAAAGCAGAGCTTGTATGAAACAATAAAATTGGTGGTACATGATGAAAGCTGATAAATGTATATAATGCAGCATTAGATTTATTTCAAGAGGTTTGTTCATCTGTTGTCTACGCCCTCTGTGCATGATTACGTAATATCTTCAAACTTCATTGGGCAATAAGTTTTTTAAATGACTACTAGAGCCAAAGCCCAAGCTTATTCACAGAATTTGATTGCAGCTGTGTAGTACATCACAGTGGGGCACAAGATTGTTTTAAAGCACAGATTGTCTTATGTTTAACGTTGTCTCACCAACGATGAAATTCAGAGAAAGCCACATCATCTGAAAGGATTTGCATGTCAACCTAGGATGGCACCAGCTGATTTGTTAGACTGTACCTTCCTGCTTTCTACTGCCTATTTGTCTTTGAAGAAAAATAAATGGAGTTTCAAAAGGAGAATGCTTACATTGATTTTTAACATCAATGCAGCACATTTTTAATGTTGGCATCTCGATATCAGATGAAATATTTATTTTTCCTGAAGCGTCGAACTACAGTGGCTGTGTGGCTCAGCCTTTTCCACAGGACACTATATAATCCAATTTATTAACCAACCTCCAGCAAGCAGTTCTCCTTGCAAGCCAGTTATGACTTGTACAGACTGAAAACTACTTTCCTCTAAAGGCAGAGTGTAGATGTGCATTTAGCAAGAGAATCAGGAATAATTGCAAGTAAGCCAGACCTTAAATATGAGAAGTATCTACAATTGGTGAAACAGGAAATCCTGGTATCAATCCTCCATTTCACCATGACTGTTTTCAGGCCATCTAGTACAACTGAAGCTGCATCACCCCCTTGTGACTAGGGAAGGGAGCACATGGAAAAACCACAGCATACAGTACATGTTTTATTTTATTTGTTTTTTAATCATGACTAAAGTGTTCAAGAATATTTAACCACACAACAACAATGCTACAAGCCAGTTAGATTTCCCATTTTCACATTTTTTGCATGGCCATTGAAGGTTTTTGTGTCATCCACAAATTCTGGCACAGAATCACAAGTCACTTCTTTTCCTCCTGAATTTATGAAACAGTGTAAAATTAAACTAATGCAGACTCATGTTAAATATCTGGCATAGATCAAACTGAAACATCTTGGAGAAAATACAACTAATGGTTGATGAGAAAATAACCTGCAACACTATAAAGTATTCACTGAATATTAAAATCCCAGGAGGAATGTTCCAGGTGAATGATTATGTTGGGATTATGTCAATTCTTTGGTAAGGGTCTTCTGAAGAGGAGGATGTGGGGCTCTGAGGGAGAGGGAAATAAAACACGTTACTATTGATTCGTAGAATTGTTCTCATGTGCTTTTAAAAGGCTGATGACAAATTATTCTGGCATCACATTTCTAAAGTTGTGAGGAACCAATGTTTAGTCCAAACATATTAAATACTTTAAGTACCTTCCTTTAGAATAACTGAGCGGTGCAGTTTGCATTTAAAAACCAGGCTGAGATAATGATGCATGTGGTGGGAGTTACCTGGTTCATGTATCATGTAATGGATCCATCCTTGGGATTGCTGCACTCCCAGTTGTCTCCACTCATCCTCAGACATCAGGTGCGATCTTGGAACATATTTAGCCATTTCCCGTGGCAGAACAACATGTCTGATTATCAGAGGCAAAAGACTACTATTATTGGTTACTGGTGATAAGTGTCAACACACGGTAAGGTTTGATACGCAGCCCTAACAAATTATAACTTGATGTATTGTGACCAGTTTAGGTGCATATACCGTAAGTCTCTGTACATTCCTTGCTTTCTGTATACATTTAGCAGTTTAGTTAATTAGGTGCACCTGTGCCGTTTACTGTGGGGAAATGGGCTTACAACAAGTGTGCACCCAGTGGCCACATGGGCCAACAAGGAACTGGTGACGCACTGGAAAACTAAGTTCGACAAGCTACCGTATGTCACTGGTGAGAAGTATGCTTTACTGGAAGCTTTTTCAAACCCTATATTGCGTTTTTATAAAAGCGAAGGCTTCAAAGATCAGAGCTAATATAAATGTATATAGGCGGACATTCCAAGTTTGGAGTAGGATAGTGCTTACCTGTACTCATAATGGTCGTCTTTGTATCTGTCCGAATAGTATATTTGGCTACGAGACATATTTTTGGATAAAGTCTGGTTATTTTGAAAACTTTTTAAAACAAACCAGGGTTCCTTGTAGAGAGCGACAGCTCGCGTTTACTTGTAAACTACGCAAAGTAGAGTAGGTACTTTATTGATCCCACAGTGGGGAAGTTTCTGAAGGCTGTGATTGGATGATTTGAACACAATTAGCAGCAGCACAACACAGGTGAGTTACATTGTTAACGTTTTATAATAAAGATGCGCCTTTGTTGCGCGTATTTGTCTCACTGCTTCTTTATTGCATAGTTGGGCAATTCAGGTGGTCGAGCACCAACTGTTTTCCAACTATCCCTGCCCTACCCTACCCATTGCTGGTTGACTGAACACACCTGATCCAGGTAATCAGCAGTGGGTTGGGCAGGGATAGCCCGGGGTTGCTCACCCTTGCTTTAGTCAATTACATCTATATTGTTGGCTGGGGATTTGATTTTCAATGGTTTACCGCAGGTTTAGCGCCATTCATGTCCACATAAAGTACACAGGCCTGTACAAGCGAGATTATTTGGTCATGCAGGTAACTTTGGGTTCAGCTCAGGTTTCCAAAAGATTCTTTTATTTCTTGGTTCACATTTTAAAAAATGTTTCATTGAAATGATGTTATCTGGGCTCTTACCTGTCTAAAGTCTTAACTTGTATGATTTTCCCTTTATCCTTCTCCTAAGACAACACAGATCTTGTGCTCTGTGGGCTAATATATAATTTAATGAGATAGGACATAAACATATTAGCAGGATTTTATACACTGAGATTAAATTATTGATTGCTAATGTTCTGATTGCATTCATATTTTCTAAAATCAGTATTTGGTTAGTTCATTTGCTGAAGTGGCCTTGGATGACAGGGCTGTAGACAGGCTCATGCAAAAGCGATCCTCTTGTGCTTCCGCTGTTTCTGCCATTTTTTTTAATGAACCATTCACAGAAAGCTCAAATGATGCCCCAGATGCAATTATGAAAATGAACTCTCAGCTCTGAAGTTATTGTTCGCAGAGGAAAGTCTTACATCACTCTGCTCTTTTCAAATAGCCTGTCAATATACTGTAGTTTGCTTTTGCTGTTTATTTTACTGTGGTTCGTTGAGCTTTTTAGAAGCATGACACATGATTGTGTAACCACAGGCAATGTTATTGAAATATAGTCACAAACGGGCTCGTATTATTTTTGTGCAAGAAAACTGCACTCTAGAAACTCCATTCAGTGTGAATGTTGTGTAACATGTATTTATATTTTCATCAAATAGAGGTGTGCATGGTCAATATACTTTACAATGTGAACTGAATGAATACATTCAGCTGCCAGCGCCACAAACTACAAATCAGCAAAAGCAGAAAATAACTTTCATAAAGGTAGAATTTATTGCAGGGCTTGTACTGAATTAGTTTCAGCTAGGTGTACCTAATAAACTGACAACTGAGTGTATATGGGGTTGACTATTTTTCCCATCAGTTCATACATTTTAATAAATGGATAATGGCAGCAATGCTTTATAATTACTCTGGCTAGTTATTTCCCCACTAAAAATTATGTCATATTCCGAGTTACACTGTAACCTGTAAACCAAAGAGCATTTATTTCAACTTGACCCTGCATCTGTTTTAATTATTTAGATTTTCTCCAACATCCTTTTGTGTATCTACCTACATTTGAATTAATTTTTTTATGTATTCCACTCAGATTGTTTTTGCTGTTACCTCACATACAGTATGTCAAATCATTTGTACAAGTCAAGAAATTGTTCTGCTGCACAAGATCATTAGTCTTTGAATGTCGAGGCAGCTAATAGATGTGTTAAGTTGGTGTGGGGACTCTCACAAGTTGCTTTTTTCTTGCAGTTTGTTCCTCTTCTGGCCCACTGGTGCAGCTGTGTGTTGCATAGTGAAAATCTTATTTTGAGGCACTGGGAAGAGCTTGACAAAGCCTCACTCGCTGATGCCGCCGCACTGTAGTGCTCCCTAAGGTCACCACAGCTGTAAAAGTTGATTGTGGGGAAAATTTTTGTCAGGGAATCGATTTCAGGCCTCGAAGACAATAGCTTTTAAAACACGTTTAACATGAAATTTTTGAAATGACGCAGCATCCTAATATCACAGTCTCTTCTCATTTGTACCTTGTATTCATGTTTTATTGTGAATAGGTGTCCTTAAATGTTACAAACTTAAATCATCAGACAGTTTTTAGGTGGTCATTGCTGTTGGTGACTTTATTTATTTATTTATTTTAAATAATAAAAAATTGTCACACTTTACCAGTTGCCTGTGTCTGGCCTTTCTGCAACATTGGTTGTTTTGCTTCTAGCTAGTCTGAAAATAACTCTTGGTTTTTTTTAAAAATGTTTTTGGTAACCTGGCAACAGTAGGCAAGTGGAGAAGTGTCTGCTGCTTTACTTGCCAAAGGATGCTCTTTTCCTCTGTTTCTCCATTTTCATTCACTCATAATGTGTGTTTAATTGAGATGTATTCTTTCTACAAATAGTTATTCTTGCATCTATTAAAGTGTGTGAACCTTGGGTGATTACGTGCGACTTACATCTGTATTAGGTTCTTAGAAGAAAGTTATGTTATCGGTCTCCTACTATATCAACATTTTTAGATGTTATAAGTAGCTCATTAGTTTACAAAAGAGGAGTCCACAATCATTTATCTTTAACATACACAGACAGGTCAGACTCCTTATTAAAGACACTCTGTGACTTGTGCACAGTTGGATCCAATCATATAGCATAAAGGAAGATCCACTCG